CTCACTTGCCCAATAACGTAAAATTTTTAAAAAAATGCACCATCCTGCCTTTCAAATTCAGTCGCCATCTTTGATTTTGGGCTTTTTCGTTGACCGGGGGGCTATTATGACTTCTTATATGAAATTTTGAATCCTTATATGAAATTTTGGACCAAAATTTCATAAGAATTGATATCTCACTTGTCTAATCACGTAAAAATTTACAAAATGCCCCCTCCTGCCTTTCAAAGTCAGACATCTTGAATTCGGGGCAGTATCTTTGACTTTGGAGGGGGGGGGCTGTTTTGACTTCATACATTAAATCTACTACCAAAATGACCCAGAAAATGATACCGCACATGCCACTCTTTATTGACCACAAATATTCTTTAGTTTTTTCCTCCCCCCCCTCCCACAAAAAATAATTTTCCCCTAGAACTTCAAATATGCACCCCCTTTCTTGTTCTTCCTTTCCCCCATTCCTTCCACCCTAATTCTGTGTAGTCGCAAAGGTTTTGGATGTTGACCTTTTTCATATTCATTTAAAACAAATTTTGCTTGTGTTTGAAATTTAAATTTTGACTTTTTTTTATTTATTTATTTTCATCTTGACTGCCGTTCTCCGCTCGCTGGACCCCCCCCCCCCCCCCCCCCCCCNTATATGTGATAATCGATATTACTAAAATTAGAAAGTTGAAATCATACATACATACAAATGTACTCTATGTACTAAAATCCAATGTGGTCAGCAAAGTGGTATGACAGTTATACCATCGCACAATAACAAACCTGGAACGTCAGTGTGCGGTGGTATGACAGTTCTACCACTTTTCCTACCCCTACAGAATTTTTCAGAAGGGATGAAAAAAAATTTTGAAGCGTTTTTTGTGCTTATCTTTATCATTAAATTTGAACCATAACATTTTTTTTAAAAAAATGAAATTTTTTTTTTCCGTGCAACAAAGGGTTAACACGTACAGCCACTGAAAATTGCGTCCAAAACTTGTTTAGGTGCAGGCCCTAAAGTGGTTCGTACAGGAGTAAGCTGCGGATCCAATTTCCACCCCCAATTTAAAGGCGAGAGTGCATTAAGTACCGAGCCACGTTTGAATTTGAAGGAATGCTCTAAAACCGTGCAATTTGGCGGCATCTTCTGTCGGCGGTAGAATTTCGAGACTACTTGTTTTAGCCGTGACTGCACCTTTTTTAAACCTGATGGAACGATGTTCGTTCAAACTTTCGATATTTTTATTTGCATGATAAAGTCCGATATATATTAATCGGACGCTGCCTATTAATAATATGATAATAAATATGCAGATATATAATATGCTTGGAATAAGAATGACACAGCCACAACGCGGATCGAGGGTGGAAGTCCGTGCAACTGCTAGAGATCAGTTCTCGAAGTAATCGCAAATCGCAAAACATAGGAAGGAGCCCGACGAGATAAATTCGATGGGGGGCAACGAGAGGCGAAAGGGGAATTTTTCTGAAACCGAAGCCCCTGAACGAGCTACATATAAGCCCCCCGAGTTCTAGATAAGAAGGGCTCGTCCAGTGTTGCTAGGTATTATGTCCCTCCACTCCTCGGGCCATGTATTTCAGCATTAATCATTTTTCTGTCATTTGGCAGCTACGATTCCTCCAAAATGCGACAATGCGAAGACAAAACAAAAAACGTGGCCTCATCTTTTCACATCGACGTCTTCGCAGGCTTGGACCATGCTTATCGTTCCTGTTAGAGTCCCTTTATACCCAGAGTTAAGACAACTCGATTATCAGCTAACTGGCAGCCGGCCTTGGCTGGCCATGGAGGCCGAAACGAGTGCACCCAAACGAACGATATTGAGGGATAAGGATCAGGAATCCTGCGATGTCTGTCACATAAAAACAACATCAACAAATTGATTAATTAAAAAGAAAATGAGATTGGTTTGTGAATAATTTCTTAATCTATTGCCATTTTGGACCGATAGAAATAACAATTTACTCTTGATGAACCACAATTAGGTAATATTTTCATTATTCTTGTTGACATTCGAGGTACCGCCATCTTGGTGCATTCGTTTTGGCCTCCATGAGCGAGAACCAATCAGAATTGGATTTTTTTTTCGGCCACTTTCAGCCCAACCCTGGCCAAACCAAAAGTGAGTTGTCTTAACTCTGGGTATAAAGGGACTCTAGTTCCTGTATGTTAAACCGTTGCGCGGCTAAGCGGAGGAAGGGTAAAGGGTGACACCCCCCCCCCCCCC